ATAGTTATGTGACGTGCATGTGTTACGTGATGTCAATGATAGAATGATTTTTTGTATAGGGGAGAAAGAAGGCAATGTCACAACTAGTGGCTCCGCCATAACTTCCATAATCTCTGGAGTTGCATTTACCTGCATGGTGGTGGTCCTTGCTTGAAATCTACCGTAAGTCAGTGCTAATGTGCAATTAGTTCAGCCTTGCGCAAAATCATGTCCCATAATTTTCACTTATCCAGTCAATCCTTTTCCACTTCAGGCTCCTATGAGGCGGGGATGGCACCAGTTGCAACTCGTTTGTTTAATTCATAGTAATGTAACCTCATCTAGTGAGTAATTCCTGAATTACAAATACAGGTCTTTTCATATTCTGCTCCTTTTTGTCATCTGGATTTAAATTTAACCAAATCGAAATGAATTTGCTCTAAGGTGGTTAGATGAAGCCCAAATTGTTTAAGTTCGTCTGTCATGTTTCATTGGTGAGCTCTTGCTTTACATGCATAATACATCAAGACCCTACATATAAATTCATTTCTCTCAATACTTAAGGCAGTAATAGGGCCAATTAATCTAACTACTGAATGCTGGACTATAATGTATAATAAGTAGGGAATTTAGACTATTTGAGCATAAGTGTAATTTGTCATGCTGCTGTCAGGCTCTTATTGCACAAACATAATCTGCTTATGATCAATCTACATTAATTAAGCGAATCGGTCAAGTTAGGTGATTACATAGTGTGTTGTACTTAGCCAAAGTGTGGAGTGAAGTATGATTAAGCACTCTCATCTCGGGATAGAAGGATGTGCCTTTTCGCAAAAAAACTTTATTGCACTACGTAGGGAACTGGCGTGGTCGGACGTTCAGCTTTAGAGCAATAGATCCGGTATCAAAGAGGGATGCAGGCTATAGTCTTTCTAATCCTGTACACATGATTGTTTTGGTTGTATTAAACAAACTGATATCTACTTTAGCGACTGAAGTGGTAAAAGACTGGTACAGATCCCTAACACTATTGTCATGAGCATTGGTCACCAAATTTACCCTTTTTCTGCCGCTGATCATCCTTTTGTCATTCTAAGTTCATTCAAGTGAAGAAAACATGACAACAGCATGGTGGAGTTGAATGTCGACTTTACTTCACACAGGAACTTGGAATGAATGGAGCAGCTTAACAAGCTCCTATTTGTTATTTGGCTTAGAAAATGGGCTAATCTACGGGGGAAGTGGTGCATGAAATTTGACTTGAGGGCTGTAAATGGTACGGATGAAGGAATGACGCTGCCAATCATTCTCATCACACGCTCCGATTGATCTCTCAGCCAAAGTCAGTGAAATAATATACTTTGATCGTGAATTTGTGCTGACAAAATATATTGGCACAAAATCTAAAAGCAGTAATACTCTCCTAATGCCATTGTCCTTGTACAAATATGACTAACACAGTGTGTTCATTGTGGAGTGGAGGCCGCGTTCGGTGCCAGTGTATTTCGCCTTTGTGTAAGGGTATACACTTGTGGGTGAGGCTACTGGAGCACGTTACCCATGACAGGGCGTATAACTAAAACTACTCTTCCTTGTGTCCACGCTAAGAGAAAGCCAATATACGCGAACCATGTCATCAATCTAAAGTTGCCTAAGCCAATGGCAATCCATTACTTTTATTGCCTTAAATAGCCCGTCTTCCTCCTAATGTGGCACAACTACTCCTGGGCAGTTCTTAAATACCCGTACACTTGGGACTCTGTTTTAAAGTGTTGCGTTGCTTACTGCCGTAGTTTTGTGCATTATATAAATGCTATAGAACAGGCTTGCCGAGGAGCCAGTTTTGGCAGTTTCGTAACCCTTTCTAAAGCCAGGTTGCTAGGTACACAAACAGAAACCACATTCATCAAGTGTAACCGACTGCAAAAGTTATGGAGATTGGAAGTAGTAGGCCAATGGGAGAGACTCCAGCTATGAGTTCCAATGGTACGATGTCATACATCTCGAACAATTATAGACATTTTGAGCTTTTACAAATTACAGCTGTGTTATCAGCTGCCACACCATCTTCTGTCATTTGAGCATAAAGGACATTTAACAACCTCTCCGCCTCTTGCACGTAGTATGCTTGTTCCGTGTATTGTCTTGATAAATACAATTTCACTGCACTATCATAAGCGTGAAGACAAATTCGCTGAATTGAAAATGTAACCCACAGGACCATGGACAAAATGATCAGCAGCACTTGCTTGAAATCTA